GTCACAACTGCAAGTATTCATGTGGTAATGAACTGACATTGGTGTTGATATCGAATTGATTGAATAATCGATCATCATCAATTGCATCAGTGACTGGTATATGCAACTGATATACAACATGTCCGAGTTTGATACATGTCGATATATGCGTGTCAATCAGCAATGCATATTTGTGGCCATCACAGTCGAATGTGAATCGAGTCGATCATTAAACCAACGAATCAATGATTGCATTATAAATGTGGTGCGATTTGATGCGACATGACAATATATTGTCCAACAAGTTCAACATACACAACACCGATATACAACACATCACACATGTATACACTGCATATACAAGCAGTAGCAATGACCAATCAAACCAAACAGTGACAGAGTTACTCATCAACATATACTCGATCATCAGTCGAGTCTGCATATATCAACCAGTTGCAACACGTCATAATCAATGTGGATTGTATTGTCCACCAATCGATCATGACAGCTAATCAATACCAATCATGTAGTCAATACAATCACCAATATATCCATGATTGTTGACTTGCGGTTACAACTCGTCAATTGCATCCAATGTTACAGGTGATGCACATCTGATTACTGCAAATCAACAACCTGTCAATCATATCATAGTGTGTATTGCCAACAAACCATGCAATTACAAATCAATGTATACGTGATCAACATTTGATATTTGATGGTGATGAGTCAACCATGATTGATTGTATCATACAACTAATACAGTTGCATTGTCTGATATTGATGATCGACCCAGTCATGTCAAACAGTAACCAATGTGTGTATATCGAGTTTGTGCTGCATGAACACATCAAGGTGTTTGATAACGAGTCCAACGTGATGATACAAACCCAATATTATATGAATATCCAAGTTGATGAATCAAGTCGAGGTTTGCAAAGTGTCAATGTCAGGTCAATCAAACAAGTCAGTCAACCATTATATTGTGACTAGTGATGGCACGGTTTGAATATCAACGAGTTAGACAGTCGACAATATGGATGATTGTGATTTGGTCAAACTGCAATACTTGCATATCACGGAGTCGGTTTGATGTGTGTGATGTGTGTGGTGTAAGCAGTATGCATAAACTCGTTGACATCATGGACTATAACCAATATACACCACACATATGCAGTGGTAAACACCAACGTGTGGTGTGTCCAGTGATCGTATACTGGTCGATTGGTGCAATATGATCATGTCACATACTATTGTATTGGTGACAAATGGTCGTATAGATGACTGAATTATCATATACAAGTCATTGGTATCCTTGTCGCATTATGGTGCCATTACACAGCATTTCTACACAAATCACACCCTGATGCTACGCTTCCAATTTCAATAAGCAATTATATAAGAAAGAGTATTTCAAAGTCATTTGAACATTGATAACAAATCAACACCAACCCTGATAGTAGCACAAATCCCTTAGGATGGTCATCCAAGGAATATGCTTTTAATATCATTTATTCAATAATGGATATAAATATAGTTCAAAAACTGGCTCGTTGAATGACATTACAACTTGCTCAACCAAACCACCAAAATGAAATTCTCAATTGCCGTACTGTCATCAATCCTTGCTGTCTGCTCGGTCACAGTTGCTAATCCAGTTGATCCCAGTTCGACCATGAGTGCTGAAGCCAGCACTGCGACAGTTCCTCCCAGTGCAACTGAAACTGAAACTGCAAGTGCTAAAGCTAGCACCTTGAACACTTTTAGTAGGTTTGATTATCCGAAAAAATTAAAATCATATAATGAGTTTGGCAAGTATTGCTATTCAATTGGCTTGGAGGGAGTATTCATGATCGAAGAACACGCAACACTTTCAGTTAAAATCGACAAAATAGAGAAAGATATTCACAATGTAGATGCTCGGATCAAGGCTCAAAAAAACTTGCTGTATAATCTGGAGCAAGATTTTGACTTTTTAAATAGAGCCTCGGGTCAAGGATCAGTAGACCTCGACCTTGAAGCTAATATTAGAACCCAGCGTGAGTTTCTTGATGAACTCCAAGAGATTCTCCAAATAATTCTTGATGGGTATCGGATTAGGCTTAAAAAAGATTCTGAGCAAGAATTGGAGCTTAAACATTACTTTGAGCATCACCATAAGTTTGAGGTGACAGATTCTGACGATAATATAAACCTGGAATCGTATCACTCGTACAAGAGTTGTTTTGACTTTTTCTACAGTTACTTTTCAAGTGTATTTTCACGGTTTGAGCAGGATGCTCAGCAGCAAGCTTCACAACCATAGACCCGTCACAATGTTGGAGTTGAGTGAACCACAGTCTCATCCAGTATATGTTGTAATGCAGCGTGTATTGCATGTTGGTTTAATTGTCATGTGCCATGCATCCAATGTCATTCATTCAATAAACATCGTGTATTGTCAAATAATAGTGTATTATACTAATGGTTGATCATAT